TGATAGCGCGGGGCTTGTTGATCCCGCTCTCGCTGAATTTCTCACCATTACTGCATGCTCCCATCCGCTCCGCAAACATTCTAATATTGTATATAATTTTCGCGCATCAGGGTGCTGCTATCAGTATGTGGGTTATTTAAATCCCTTTTGAATGAGCGCTCGCAGTCACAGTTCACTTTTGATTTTGCGATCGCGCGCACTGTGTGAAGGGAGCACATCCTATGATAAAAGATTTGTCAATGAGCTCGGGATCTGTTGCGGAGTAAATCCTCCAACATCTTGTCAGTTATCTCTCCTTACTTTTGACCCGCGATCAGTCAAATCTGACTACTTCAGCTCGTGTTGGATGCAGGGAAGTTGTTTTTTTTCCACGAAATTGGGCTGCTTTTAAACTGTTGCCATGGGTTGATTTTCCCCAGTGGGTTAAAGGTTTGAAATATTGCATAAATGACATTTGGTTGAAATGCTTGTACTGAAACATTTTGCATTCTACCTGTAATAAAACTGCTAAATGTTTTGGGCCACACTAGTAGGAAGCATTTGAGCTGTATTTATGATAAATGTGCATAACAGTGACTGTAAAATATGTATTTTAGGGATGGAAATGACTTTTATATTTGGGACATGGTAATTGCGCTAGAAGGTTCAAAAAACACATTATTTTCCCTCATACTGTACATTATTGTTTCTCCTCTATGCCCGCCTTTCTGAAAAGCATCGATTTTTACAAAACTCATCGGTCTGAAAAGCGAGGTGTGCTGTGATTGGCCAGCTATCCAGTGTGTTGTGATTGGCCGAATACCTCAAGCGTGTGACAGAAATGTTACGCCTCTTACCATATTGTGATGTTGCACGGTCAGGCTGGAGCGATGATTCAAATACATGAAAACCCATTATAACGAGGCATTCATTGCATCGAGTGGGGACATAATTATGGATTATAATGACTTATACTGTCTTTTTACGCGTTGCATCGTGCCGCGTAAACATAAAACCATGTCTGCATTTGTGATCAGAGAAATGACAAACAACAAGCGCTACTCTACACTGCCCAAAAAACTCGCTTTAAATATAAAATATAAAACTTCTTTAAATATAAAAAAACATACTTACAGTCTTTGAGTCAGAAAAGCCAGCATTGTAGTCTACTCTCCCAGGATCAGGACACAGTCCTCCATAAAATGTGCAGCACACATCTGAATATTTGGGTTGAAGTGTTCTGGAACAGTGTTGTAAATACAACTTAACCACTGATTTCTAGTCATGTCCATTTTTGGAAGACCAAACAAAGTAGTTTATTTTTCACACCGAAACGCAGGATCACACACGGAGGGCTAGAGTGAGCGGAGGCCTGCGGATTCGACGAAGGAGGCTTGCGGCAACCACATGTGACGACCCCGGGCTGGACTCCGCTTCGTCCACGGTGAAAGCCGATCCGGCGATCCACAGCGCGAAGTTGTAGTATTTCCTCAGCGACCAGCACAGATCAGCTCGAGGCATGACGAAGCAGATATCGTCCTCTTTTGGAAGACCAAACAAAGTAGTTTCGCTTTCACATAGTGACGTAGACATGTGGGGGCGTGTTAGAACGAGCTGTTTTTAGGTAAGCGTGGCTGACTCTTTTATAAAGAATGAGACTTTAGTCTTTGCAACTTTACAGATCTTCTTTATGCACCAAGAGCTTGTAACCCTCCAAAGAGAAAGGAACAATTGAAATCGCATCATATGACCCCTTTAAAACAGGTCTTAAAAGGTATTAAATGTAACTCCATGATTCCTGTATATACCCTGTGTTAATAAATCAGAGGTCAAAACAAAGTTTGTTCAGAGGACAGTGCTGAAATACACGTCTGCAAACCTACAGAACATACCTCATCAATAGCTGAGATGTTCTAAATGCATTTCAGTACTTTGAACGTGTCCCGGTGTGTGGGAATTCATGATTACCTGGGCAGGCTTGTCTGTTCACTAGATGGCCATCATTAAAGGGAACGACTGAAATCTCCAAAACTGTTCAGATTAAGTTTCAATACATACCTGCAAACTCATCACCTTTGTGTACCATGATAAATGGGATACGTCTTGATTGTTAAACATGTTGACACTTCATGTGATGCACAACACATTTTCTCTGACTAGGGCCCCTGTGAATTTAAATGAATCAAACCAAATCAGTTTGAACTAGGGGTGAGCGATACGGCAAAATATATCAAATGATTTTTATTTTTTTGTCATGTTGGTTTTACTATTTTGCAGGTTGTCTGAGCGGTACATCCCAACTGATATCCCTATTTTAAAAACAGCCGTATAAGGTAACAAAATCTAAAATAAAAAAAAATAATGGAAGTTATTTAGGCCAAAGTGGGTGAAGATAAAAAATCGTTGTCATTGTTCTTTTTTTTTAACAACAAAGATAAAATAAAGATACACATTACAAATGCACATAATATACAAATAAAACAATCAGTGCTTTATTTTTCAGGTACGGAAGGTGTATTTAGCAGTTCACTGTATAAATTATACATTGATTCTTATTAAAGC